GAAAAGAAAAACCTTAATATGGTATTTTAGATTCGCATATGATCCTCACCATCTTGAATAGGTGTAACATCAACAGAACTCTTACCCCTCAAATAAATTTAACACATTTTTTCCAAACCAGACTCTAACATAACCAAACCACCTGAGCCGAATCCGGGAAAAAAAGCCGCAATGTTCACTCCTAATTTTTAATTGAAAAATTTTACCTAAAAATGTTCACTCCTAATTAATATCGGATTTTATATTGCCTCTCGGCCTCTTCTATATTGTATCAACCACAATTGGGTCAAGGAAAGACAGGCTAAACAAATAAACTTTGAAGCAACCAAGTGGTGGTTACCTAGTGGTAAAAAAGTTTGAGAGAAAGAGGTAAACTATTATAATCTGAGTTCGATTTCCTTTGAAAACATTTTCACCTCCATTTGGCCAGTCAAAGTGGTGCCATTTTTTCGGCCCATTAGAAAATTCGGTGAGTGGGCTACTCGACGGCTACACTCATCATGGAGATTAGTCGGATAGTAAAAACCCAGACACCCCCGGTTATAAAAAATAAAAAAAATTAAACTTTGAATCAGATTTAAGTGAAACTAGATAGTTACCCACGTTATACGCGGGATAATGTCATACGCGAGTAAATCAATAAAGTTTTAATTTAAAAAATCATATATAGTTATTAGTAAAATCATATATGAATTTTGTAATTATTTTGTATGAAAATGTATTCTACCCGTGAAATAATTGATAATAACAAATTTTTAGTTCTTAGTTAATATATATCACTTTTTAATAAACTGTATTTATTTAATACTATAATCTTCGAAAATACTGTTTTAAGAAACAAATAATTTTTTTTTAATTATGTTTGGTTGGAAGGATTGTGTGATTGTGTAGTGTTTGGATAAATAGTATATAGTAGAGAATTAATATGATTGTGGAATGTTTAGATAATAGTATAGTAGAAAATTAATACTAAAATTTTATTATTAGTAAAAAACTCTAAAAAAATTTGAGAGTTTGACACCTAAATAAATTAATTCTAAAATGCTTTTTCTTTTTAACATATAGAGGATATTTGAAGTAGACGATTTCAGTTTGACATTTACTATCTCGACCAAACCAAATCAAAGATGCACACGCAAGTTCACTAGTCCAAGTGTCACATCGTTGAACTATACAATCACATTCAATCTTTCATAACAAGCATATTACACAAACACACCAAGGATTAAACCTCGTTTATTACGTTACTAATATATATAATTAATTAGCGGGTCATGCCGCCTTGGAAGACTGGAGCACCCATCGCCACACCCTGGTTCTGCTGCCTCTCCGCATTCGCAGCCCATCCTAAAATACCATTGACATGTTTTAGTGATCATATTTCAATCAATATAAACAAATGAGTTTTACAAAGGAAAAAGTATAAAGAAATTAATACCGAGAGTCATATCGAAACCGCGGTTCTTGAGTTCGCGGTATTGTTGGGTCAAGGCACAAAGCTCGCAGAAGAAATGTTTAAGGCAATCTCCACAATCACTACCTCTAAGATTGTATTGAGCTCTCATCTTTTGACGATAGAAACACGAATAGATACATCCGCAACCCGTTAGAGCGCTTATCAAAGCGTATAGTGCACCAGCCGTACCACAACCTGGAATTTTAATTTAAAAATACAATTAGTTATATCACTATATAATTTCTGGCTGCCTCATATATAAGTAACTTACTGGTGGATCCTCGATCTACAATATCAGCGACTTGGCCAAATGTAATACATGGACACCAGCATGTGATACAACCTGTCCATTAATATTTTTTGCAATATATATATAAATAAGTTTATGTTAGTTATTTTTCCATAAATAAAAGTATTAAGTGATAAAGAAAATTAGATTAAGTATTGGTGTAGATTTAATAAACAAGCATAAAAGTTACTTTACACATGTAAATATAAACAAACAAAAAATATATATATATATATATATTTAATAAATAAGAAAAGAGAGAAATTATAAATAAGAGTATGTATAGTATATTTGATTACAGTTTTTGCAGTCAGAGAAGCAATCACAGAAGCCTGTAGACCATTCTTCTTCAGCTCCATGCTTGGCATGAAGGTGTTGAGCTTCCATGGG